AACTATCTCTGTTCATTATGAAACATTATTTGCTTACATATGCTATCCTTATCTAGCCATAATGAATCTTATCTCTTATCACAAGAGCCAAAATATATTTTCATCTAAAATAAGTATCTAATTTAATATAAGACTTTTATTCGTATTGCATAGCTGATGTAACACATGACTCTAAATTATTCTAAATACAAACTTTTATGGAATTAACTCTCGACCGGGGAATCGAACCCCGAATTTTCGTTCAACATTGGATCTATTTACTTTTAACATAGATTATTTGTGTGCCTTATGCAATATCATAGCAATATTTTCAAAATGCAAAATTGTTTATTTTTTATGAAATGGAAAATGATAAACTATTATTTAAGCGCGTCGCCAACAATAATATAACGTTACACTGCTGTAATTACTAAAGATGGTGGAATAGGAATGTAACAGACATCTCTGGTCTTAACATTACGCCTCGATATAATTTAGGTTGATACTGGAACGTGTGGACGTGAAACGGTAGTTATTATTTCGCAATACATATATGATATGTTATATCTTAGAGAACATCGATATTTAGCGTGATGCTTTCCATTTTCAGTGCGTATTAATAAGCGGGTTCGATATAAATTGCTTCGTATAATTAACGAATTTTGGTTAAAATTCTTTACTTTTTTAAATATTATAAGTCAGTGCTTGACTACTGATGACTGGTACCTGATGGTAGGTGATGTCGTCGAAGAAGGCACACAGCAATGACTTAGACGGCTCCGTGGCGCAGTGGCTAAGCAATGAGTTGTTGCGCTGGGGGCCGCGGGTTCGAATCCCACACGGAACAAGTATTTGTATGGCCTATAAATAATTGTTCCGGGTCTGAATGTTTGTCCTCATGCAGTTTATGTTTGTAAACTGCCTCCACGACACAGGAGAAAATCCTAATGTAACGATGTGGGTAACGATTTGAAAAAAAAAACTTTGTCAAAAGACTATTTCCTGTTTGCTTGAAGTCACATTGTAATAGGATGGAAAGACAGATGCTGGCAAATTATTTCACACTTTTGCTGTACGCATTACGAGCGACGTATTTAGTTCAAATGCGTGGTATGTCAACTACAAAGGAGTCGAGACCAGCCGAACATTTGGTGAACCGATGATGGAACAGAGAGAGATTAATTAATTTACGAAATTCCTGCGCACACTCTCTTGCTACTTGTCAATTGTAAAAAATTACAAATACTTAAATTTTTTTTTGAAATACCAAAATTCAAAATTAATCTTAGTCCATAAGGTCAGCATTAAATCTAACAAATTATTGTTAAAGATCGTCTTAAATACGACAGTGAAAAATGTATTCCCATAGGCATAGTTACAAATCTGTAACGTTGATTTAATTGCGGAAACCAGCGATTGCGTTGCCGGCCTTTTAAAAAGGAATAGGCTCTTTTCATGAAGGTTCTTAAGTCGTATCGGTCCGAAAAAATCGCTGGTGGTAATCGATTCCACAAGGAAGTTGTACGAGGAAGAAAATTTCTTCTAAAACGCACAGTTGTTGACCGCCAAATATCCAGATGTTATGGATGGTATAGCGAGAGCGGTTAGAATTAGTCCGAACAATTCCTCAGAGCACTCTCCGTGGTAGATGCGATAAAATACGCAAAGAGATGCAACATCTCTACGCAGTGCCAGTGTATCGAGCCGATCAGAAAGAACTCGGTCGTCGACGATTCGAATCGCTCTGCGCTGGATGCGGTCAAGTGGAAGAAGCTAGCACTGGAGAGCCCCTGCCCAGAGATGGGAACAGTATTCCATGTGGGACCGAACCTGCGCCTTGTAATGTTGCAAGCGATGTGCCGTCATGAAATACTGTCCCGCTCTGCTGAGCACGCCAAGCTTCTCAGAGCTCAAATTGGACTTCCCTTCCAAGGGACCACGAAACTGCACATCACTCGATATTTCGACACCGAGGATTCCGATACTGACTGAGGCAACAAGGGGAGTGCCTTGAAACTGAGGAGATAGGACTTTTTAGCGGTAAGCGCGCAAACTTGTGTCTTCTGGGGATTAAACTAGACTAGATTTAATCGCCCCCAGTCCGAGACTTTGTTCAACAAATTCTGGATTTCAGACACAAGTTTGTTCCGTTATTCGGTGACGTTTTCCCGAGAAATATTGACACGGCTGGTATATAAAGCATCAATATTTCTGCATAGCAATGTATATTACCAGTTTGCAACATATCATTGATATGCAGAAGAAACAGCGTTGCTGATAGCATGCAGCCTTATGGAACAGCATCGTTAATGGGCTTGTAATCGGAGCACGCACCGTCTACGCACGGTGCGTGCTCCGATTTCTCGGGAAGCCCATAGGAAGGAAGCTTAGAAAGAAGCGCTTTGTGCCAAACCCAATCGAAGGCTTTCACTATGTCCAAACAACGGCCAAAGTTAGGTAACCTAGAAAATCACCAGCTGAGTAACCTTGACGAAAACCATACTGGCGGTTACTAAACAGCTGGTGATCCTCAAGGTACTGTATGAGCTGGCAGTTAATAATAGTTTCCATTACTTTGGAAAACAAGTAGGTGATAGCGATAGACCTCTAGTTGGACGGATCTGAGCGGTCGCCTTTTTTAGGGATCGGGTACACCAAAGCTGTCTTCGAGACTATGCCTAGTGAGTAGGAGTATCGGAAAAGACGCGTAAAAATCGGTGCCAACTCTGAAACAACGTCTTCAGTACAATAGGTGGGACTCCATCAGGCCCACTCGGCTTGTTGACTTTCAGAGAGAGGAGTGCTTTGCGCACCGAGTGCTGTGTGAACCTCACTTCCTGCATGGAGCACTCACACGGCGAGATGGTCGGCAGTACGTTCCCGCCGTCAACGAGAGTCGAGTCGGAAGTATAGAGAGCCTAGCAAATCGTCTTTCTCCTTTGCGGCATGGGCCAGTGAGTGGTCCATCCTGTACAGAGATGGCAGAGATGGCTGACAAGAGTTCCCTTGGACAGCCTTGGTTGAACTAGTTTTTCGCCAATTCTGCTGATTTGCAATGACTTTGCCTTGGCAATGACACTTTTGAAGGACCTGGAGGCAGAATTATACTTATTTTTAAGAAATAAATTAAACAAGGAATTTTACAAAAGACACAACAAGGATATTTTTTTAAATTATTTGTTTCCAAGATAAATTTAAATAAGTCAAAATACGACACAATTAGAAGGAATTAATTTGCAAAACATTAAAATAGTATTGTTCACGCCCTTAGTTGCCCCGACAAAGGTCGGCTGGACCAGGGCCCATGAGTGATCCCCTCGACGAGCAACAGAGGGCGGGGCCCAATGGCCTATGGACAATTATTCTAAAACGGCTGACAAGCAAACAAAAACTTACCGGGTTCCGGAGGTAGGGTCGACCACAAGGCGCCGTCAGGGGCAAGTGGGTGGTATGTAAGTGTAAATGTAGTAGTGTGTAAGTGTAACCTGACATAACCGATGTAGTCGGACCGCAGGTCCACAGGCGCTGCTTTTCTCCAAATGTGCGATCCCTCCAGTGGGCGTTAAGAAATAGAAACCAAATTGTTCAAAACAATTTAAAACATAAATCTATAAAGCATCTTTTGTCTAAAGTTACAAATTTATTTTCTCATAAAACCCTACTTTCGCAAAACTTCTGACAATCATTACAACGAACTTTCTCATGTTATAAATCCACATTTTTATCCACATTTAAATATTTAAACTGTATCCTGTAAATAGTGTGGTTTTCACAAATACTGATTACAATGGTAATAATTTTATAACTAACAGTCCACCTTAAGGTAAGTCGCAGCAGCCCAATGCACACCTGCAATTCACTTCAAACAAGGGAGGCTACAGATGTGCTGTCACCTCTGAGACTAACATGGAATGCCTAACAAACTGTATTATAATGAATCTCTTTATTGTTCAGATCGAAACACAGCAATGCAGGCACTGCTTTTTGATGTCAGAAATATCTAAGAGGGTGGTCCACCACCACCTGGTATTTAAGTTTTACCCACACACGTCCATATACTAATTAAAATAAAAATAGCTAAAAAAAACATAAATATACTAGATCTACATCTAAAATTAGTTTATAATTAATTAATTACAGGAAATGTCGTATCTACTTAGGAAACTACTCTGAATTAAAATTTTCTATTTCAAATTAAAGTTGGCAAAACAGACGAGATCAAAGGTGCTTGAAAGTTTGAGCTCGCTCTCTCTATATAGAGGTTTAGTTGAAAACTTATTTTCTGTAGCACAAAGCAAAAGTGGGATCCATGTGTGCTGTCTATGCAAGCACTTTGAAATTAACGCAACAAAGTAATCCATTATACATTGTTTAATATATCGTAAGGTAATTTCCTCAAACAACGTTCAAAATCGTAGTAAATCAGTAAATATAATAAAAGAATTGAATTTATTTCCTACACTTAACCTCGTAAGGCCCAATGTGATCAGAGAAGTACTTAACAATCAATGCGTTTCGGCCCGATACGAAAATTGTTCTCATCAAAATTACCGCCCACAGTCATCCACTGAGGACAAATTATATTTTTGTTCCTAGATTAAAAAATTCGCGGGTTTTGTACTTCTTAATAGACGTCATTGATTGGCCCTTTTGCTGGCAGTATTTGAATCAAAAGTAAGTAGGCAACCAACCACAGATAGCTCTTCATTTTAAACTGAATTGAGTCAACATGGAGTCCACGCGTCGTCATGGTGAGTTTTTATCTTGATTTATTTAATAAATCCGTTTATTTTTCCAGTAAATGATTTATAATCATGAAATTTAGATTTTGTTTTACATAAATATTGTATTATTTTTCCATATACTGCTGTGCATAAAAAAATATTTTGATTTAAAAAAATATGTGATCGAACAATCACACTGGGCGGTAGTTACAATTACAGTCATTTTTTATTTGGTATTATGTGAGGTCATTGGGCGTTAGTCAGTTAAGGAATCGTATTTCAGAAAATTGAAGTATTTTGTTTTTAAAGTACTTATTTCTATTTATTATAGTTTTGCGTGATGAAGATGTTTCTAATTTATTAAACAACTCGGAGATTGAAGACTTCGCACTTAGTGATGAAGATTTGGATGACCATGACCCACCTTTTAGACTTGAGTTAGATCATTTATCTAGTTCGAGTGATTCTGAAAGATCAGAGCCAGAAACAATCCACGAAGAAAGAATAGTACAGCTAGCGCCATCACGTGCTCGTCGTGGCTTTACTCGTGGAAGAAGTAATCGTGGTCGTAGCAGCAATATAACTTCCTCTGCCAGTGACTCTAAAATTTTACTACCTAGTTGGTCTGAAAAACTATTCCCATCGAAAGAAATGGAATTATCGCAGCCTACTTATTTACCACTTAACTCAGATTTTTTTGAAAAACTTACATATTTTGAACAATATATAGATGATAAGTTTATACAGTTACTCGTTGAAAGAACAAACCAAACTTCAGTAAAATTGCATGGAAGAAGCATGAATTTAGATATGAAAGAATTTTATGTGTACCTCGGAATTACGTTCGTTATGGCTTCTGTAAACTATCCAGTAATAAGAATGTACTGGGAAAGTAAATGGAGAATGGCAATAATTGCGGATAACATGTCCCGTTACAGATTTATACAAATCAGAAACTCTATCAAATTTGTATTTGATGACGATGTTAGTCAAGCTGAACGTGCGGAAGATAAGTTATGGAAAATCAGACCTTTGATACAGCGAATTCAAGAAGGATGTAGGGTACAAGAAAAAGAAAAACACATGTCTCTTGACGAAATGATAGTGCCTTTTAGTGGAGCATGTGGAATTAAACAATATTGCCCCGGCAAACCAAACCCAGTTGGTATGAAAGCCTTTGTTCTTGCAAATCCCAGTGGAATAGTGACAGATTTTCATATTTATCAAGGGTCAACCACTTACAAAGAGTTAGAGGATTCAAACCATGGATTGGGAGAGAAAGCTGTAATCACTTTAGCTAATACACTTGTCCCAGGACACATCCTTTACTTCGACCGATACTTCACCTCAGTAAAACTGGCAAATGAACTTCTAAAGAGAGGCATTGGTTGCACAGGCACTATCATGAAGAACAGAATTCCAGCTGCCGCACGGCTTGTGTTAAAAGATGATAAAGAACTCCAGAGAAGAGGTAGGGGAAGTGTTCAGACTATTGTAAGCGATGACAACCAGATTGCTATAACCAAATGGTATGACAATAAACCTGTCATATTATTGTCAACAGTTGAAGCAAAAGAACCTGTAGATGTTTGCCAAAGATGGTGCAAAAAGCAAAGGCATTATGTGACTGTCAATAGACCAAGCGTGGTGCGAAATTATAATAAATATATGGGAGGTGTAGACCTTGCCGACAGAATGTTGGCAGTATGTCCCAACAGATATCGCACGAAGAAATGGACTCAAAGATTTTTTTCCCACATGATGGACTTGGCTGTATCGAATTCATGGCTCCAATTCAAACGAGACCAAATAGATAAAGGGGTACCGTTAAAAAAAATACAACAACTGAGGTTCTTCAAACTGGATCTTGGCGAAAAAATTATTGAAATGTACACAAATGAGGAGACGGTTTCAGCAGATTCAGAAGAGGAAGTGAACGCCCCTACAAAACGTAAAAAAGGGAAGCCTACGCTACCATTACCATCGATGAAACGACGTCAACAGGCAGCAAAACATATGCCTTTATTTGAAAATAAGCAAGCCAGGTGTCGCCATTGTCATTATAATAAATCTCGCACTAAATGTAGTACATGCAACGTTAGTTTATGTTTTACAAAATACAGAAATTGCTACAAAGAATTCCATGAATAGGGATCGTTGATTTAATTGAAAATTACTCAAGTTATTGATTTTGCATGAGGTTTAGTTTATTAAGCTCTTGTTATCTTCGCTTGTTCCTAATCTAAGACTGATTATAATATAAGCGCAAAAATTATTTAAAGATTAATTACACTTTTTGTTTCATTTGTGTTTCGAAGTTTATTTGTTAAATGATTATTGATAGTTTCTATTTTTTTAAGTTTGTACGCTTTTAGTTTATTATGTTAAATAACGAGTAAAAAAGTATAAAGTTGAAATTTTTTATATTTTTTATTTATTACACTTAAAACCAATGTCATCATCTGATCACAAATAAAACTTTAGGTAAAATGCAACAACGACCCACTGTCTTCAGATGAGAACAAAAATAATCGCGTCAAAAGTTCTAAAAATATACTCAAAGAGGTGTTATATATGAGGCACATAAAGTGTTTTGTTCTATCTTTTCTGTAAATCTATCTATTGAACTCGTTTCGGTCTGGGCGGTAAGCGTTATGTTTATTAAGTTCTCCACCGAGAACATTGGGCGGTATTTGGTTGCACTCTATTTTCGCCTTGGGCCTTACGAGGTTAAGGTAAAAGCTCCAGGGTGGCCCGCGAAATCCAAATTTTCTTGCGTTTTTTGGAATTTGCAGGTCTGGGTCAAGTTGAATGCTTAAAAAAATATGATCAGTGACCGTAACGAGTATGTGTTTATAGAATTATTATCATTAAAATCACCAATATAACCCTCTAAGTTCATATAATCCCTTTGAATGAGTTTTCCTGGAAATAGCCATACATTGGAATTATACGAACATAGACGGTTGTATTGATGATTATAATGATTATAATTCTGTAAATACATACTCGTTACGGTTGCGAATCATATTTTGTAATACATACAACCTAACACTGACCTGCAAATTGCAAAAAACGTAAGAAAATTTTAATTTCGCGGGCTACCCTGGCGCTTCCACCTTAAATAAAATAAACATCACGAAATAAACACTTAATACCATTCAAAAATAATACCATAATATATTCCATTGTCACCCTGGAAGTTTTTTAGACAATGACAAACGAACCAATGTAAAAACTTACTTAATAACTTTATTGTATTTCGAAGTATCTCCATTCTAGTCTCTGTATCGTGGCATCTGATATAATCACTGGAGCAAGCATTGGGGTATGAAGGTCCATTCGTCTCTCACGGTTTCTTCCACGGCCTTTTTGAATGTAATCTCTAAAATGAATGCCTCAAAGCTTATCTTTATTTTTGAATTTTTCGGAATTAACAGAAGTCGCCAAGTACTAGGTCGGTACTATATATCTATTCTATATATATATATATATATATATATATATATATATATATATATTTCAAAACAACTGGTGAACAATTGTAAATACACCCGTTTTAAACCACTATATTATCTCTAATTTTACTGTCACTAAGGACCAGTCCTTCGTGGAAAGAACTAAACTATCACTTTTTATTCCATGACGCCGTTCGGATAAATTATCTGATAAGAGTATCCATTTAGTACAGAGTTTCTTAATGCCTAAAAGTACATGCAAGCCTTTTTAGTGCAATGCTTAAATTTAACCGAATTGGTCGGTTTTTATCATTATGCATCCTCTATCGTATAACACTGGCGCTAGCTTAAGCTTGTTATCAGTGAAGGTGAAGAACTCACCTCTCTAGGTGTTGGTTGGTGTTGTCTGTAGGTTGCAGCATGATCCTAGCAATATAACTGATCCTCTTATCAGTTACATTGCAAGGATCATGCTCCAACTCAAGAACAATTAATAATAAATATAAGCACGTGATGAGGCTTTATCATAAAGCGCCAATCGAAGTCTTCATTTGTCTTATCTTAATTTTGTTGTTGACAAAATCGCAACTAAAGTCACCATTAGTAAAAATAATGACAAATATTATTCAATATATCAGTTTACCAAAGAGCTTAATTTCCAAAATTTAATTATTTTTTCGCTGTTCAATGTCTTCGGCGAAATCAATAAAACGTAACAATACTTTGGCCAGTTCTAAAAACTTTCAGTGCCACTTGTCACTCATTACACGGTGACGGGGTAAGAATTATGAGATAGGTGATGTAAGATTATACACAATGGCCACTTTGCTCTATACCTAAATGTTATCCTCGGTTTTAGATCAACGTGGAGACGGAACGCAACGCTAGAATTTTCGTATTTTGGTCCTTACGTAATAGTGTTGCCCAAAATCGGTCTTGGTCTTGCAGTCTTGGTCTTGTTCTTGCATTTTTGCAAGACCAAGACCAAGAACAAGACCGCTTCAGTTTAGCAAGACCAAGACCAAGACTGACCGTGCAAGATTTGCGCTAGAACAAGACTAAGCTTGCGAGACTCTTGCGTCTTGCAGTTAGGACTAAGTGTCGTTTCAGGGAGTATAGGAGTTCGGGTATACGCTTAGAGACTCTATGAGACGCAAAAAAATATAATGAAAAAAAAAATTGGAAAATTGGGCTTATGCGCATTACGAACAATACCATAAACATACATAGCGAATGAAAATATCCATTAAAAGAAAAAAGAGTGTATCCCTAGTTTTGACCATCGGCACTTTGATAGTGCGCGGCGTCTTGTTGTCGGCGTCATCAATGGTCGGATACTGACTTGTCAAAGAATTGTGCAGCTATTCGAAAGTACAAGGTCAAGATACACGTGCCGGCGGCTGCTATTGATATCGCATAATCGTCGCTGCCGCGCGACACGCACTACATTTGACACTGTTTGATTGCCGCCACAGAGTACATGTTTCAAAGAAGAAAATAAGTTTCCGGGTGCTCAGAATGGACACGAATACATTATCCTGATCTCGTAAGAAATATTGTAATTAGATAATAGGTAGGTATCATAATAATTTATTCTAGTAAGTAATTATTATAAAATTAACTATATGGATTTATAATAATTACTTTCTATTATTAAGTGGCGAAGCTTGCGAAGTCACCTATTGATTTCACGATGTCTGTCCGTCTGTCCGTCTGTCCCACGATTAACTCGAGAACGGTTTCGAATTTTCAAATTCTGTTTTTATCAATCGATTACTAATCACCCAGGCATCTGAACCTCCTATTTTGAAACTGATTGCTCAACGGCAACCGTTAGAAACCGCTACAATTTCAAATTATCGACAGACTGACACAGGGCATGTAGCATATCAAGCGACAGGTCTTTAGAAAGATAAATGATTTTTGAACTTATTTATAATTTTTTTTAATCGATTAATTGCTATTTTTAAATAAAAAAGGGTTTTAGTGGCTTATGGTGTGGATTTATCATGTCCCTGTGGCTTGTAAACACGATAACTTTTGAAAATATCAATTGTTTAATTCAATCTATTTTTTAATCTCTTCATCTATCATGTGGGAAGCCACTGAATGTAAATGGCAGTGTAATTTTGTTTTGTTTAGCTATAATTAATTTTTTTCGGCTCCAAAATGGCAAAATTTTCGTTGATTTGGTAGCCTCGTATATAAATAATTTCTGTAAATGGGGAGCTACAGCACTTTTACACAGACATCGAACGCAAACAGTCATCCGATCCGTTTGTCTCAGTGCGATTACGTAAACTTTAAACTTGAAATCTGAAATTTGAAATTTTAAACTTTAAATTTTAAACTTTAATCTTTAAACTTAAAATTAAAAATTCATTTTTTTTTAAAGTAAAGGTTACGTTCTGACGTCGTTTCATATTAGTAAAAATCATTTAGTTAACCCGGTATTCGAAACTGTTAATTCAGTGGAGAATTTCGTTAATTCATCACATCGCGTTAATCAAAAAATAGACTCGTGTTTTTAATAATTTAAATTCCTCTTTGCGTGCTAGGCGATTATAGACCGAATCTCGCTCCACCTAGAGCAGGCCGGCTGCCGTCGAGTCAGGCGACCGTTAGACTAGCCCTTCGGGGCCTCGCGCTTACATTCCTTCACAAGGTCGTGCGCCTTTTAAAACAGTTTTAATTTCATTTAATTATTTAAGCAATTTTAAGCGGGAAGTGATTAAAGGTGAAAATAGTCATTTCTACGCGGTTTTCTCGGGTAAGTTTATACACAATCACCTTAGGGAGAATACAAACGGCGAGCACTTAGTAAAACTAAGTGACCGCCTAAATTTCGATATAATAGCCCTTCAGGAGGACACTAGCTATTCAACAAACCAATATCGTAGTTTGTCCAAAATCGACTTAGCACTCTTCAGGAACGTAACCTTAACGTTACGCTCCATAGAAGTGGTGCATGAGTTGACATCGGATCACCGCCCGGTCATAATGTCGTTAGGACAGTCCAGCAGCGAGGTTCCTCTAACCAAAACTGTTACGGACTGGCATAGGTTCGAGGCTAACCTCGAAACTATGAACTCAGAATACTTAGACCAAGTGCCAGATGTAATTGACACCAAAGAGGTGGCCTTAGAAGCCATCTCTCACATCACCTCTCATATGAACGACTTGAAAAATTCAAGAAAATCAAAAACATGCGACTAAGCTGATTCTTCGCCACTTTGCTTTGCTGTTAGCTTGCTAGGTTTATTGTTATTATTATTACCTAAAAGATAAACATGTTCAGTAAGTTCACTGCAAATCTCGACTTTTGCAAGTGTGTGTTTTTAAAACACGAAGTGCTCGAATATGTCGTCACACATTTGATAAATATGGTTGACACCATAGCACTTTTAAAACACTTAAAATGTGTAAAAATGGATCTGGATCTTGTCTTCAAGGCTTAGTTATTAAGGAGTTGGAGGGGTACCTAGGTAACCCAGAGCCGTCATCTCGGAAGACATTTTAGACTGTTGGAGGACGCATGAGACAAAATATCCGATTTTATCGAAGATGGCCCGTGATTTTCTTTTAATACCTGCAACTTCAGTACCTGCTGAGAGATTATTTTCTAAAGCATCATTAGTAATTAGAAAACATAGAAATAGGTTAAGTGATGATTCAGCAAGATGGTTACTTTGT